GTGATCATGGCTGAGGAACTGATCTAAAACAAAAGAACAAGTGAAGTTGAGGATGGTGTGAGAACAGCACCTAGGAAGAGAGAAGGAAAGTCTTGAAAGTTTCTAAGCCAACCTAAATGGAAAGTGACACAGGTTGTCATCTTTTCTCTTAGGGTGGGCGCCCTCAGTTCAGATAAGGAAGACTGAAACTCAGAGTAAGAAGGAAGTGCTCTGCAACTGTAGTTATTTCTGTCTTTCTGTGACACGTCAGAAATAACATCTCATGTCCTTGTGTCAGGATAAGTGATGTTTTCCTTTCCAGAAACGGAGTTCTCTCCTGTGGGTGAAGAAACAGATTTCTAGTTAAACACTCCTGGGTTGCAAGCTTGTCTAACACATAAATAACTCATTCAAGGCCCAGGGTGACTAAAAAGCTTACCCCTGCTTCATGCTTCCCACCCATCCTGGCTTCTCTCCACTCTACACCCATGACCATCTCTTTGAAATATCGACTAATGTGTTTATCTATGCTGGGATTTTATATTACTTTCCTTTGGAGAAGAAGAAAAAACAGTTATTAGTCTTATTTTTGACAGGTCTAGATAAGATGTACACTCTAATTTAACCATGTCGGTTGACATGATGAGTTGGGGACATACTTATGCCTTCCAGGAATCATAAGAGATGACTGACCCCCTTCTCCTGTTTGCTGAAATTATAAGTGAACAGAAAGAAAAGTCACAGGATCCATAATTCTCTCTCATACCACCCCTTCCCACTAAAAACATAAGGAAGGGCAGTAGAAAGAAAGACATTCGAACTCAACTCATAGTTGAACTGTAAATACACATCTACAGTACATGCATACAGCCTCTGTCAAAATTAGGATACCATTTGCGTCCCCCTTTCTTGAACTTCTTTATTCCTCTCCTCCTTTGGATTCCTCAGCCTCTGTTTTCAATTCCCTCATTAAGGGATTACATTTAGTTTCACACATCATTATTGCCCTCCCTCTATCTTTCTCATGTTGTATGAGGTTCCAGGGAAATGTTTATCAGTGTGGATCCATACCACCTACATCAGGACCACCTGGGGTGCCTGTCATAAGCCTAGATCCCCAGGCTTTACCCTACATGGACCTGCTAAATCAGAATCTCGGAAGCAAGTGGTTGCGGAATTTACTACTTAAAAATCTAAACATGCCAGTTAATTGTTGTGCACACTACAATAATTTAACAGGGAATATCAAAGATAATTAAGACAAAGTCTTAGTCCTCAAAAAGGCCGCAGGCTGGTGAAATACTCCAACAAAGTAAGTGGATCATTTTAACAGCAAATAGCAAGTAAAGTATAAGCGTTATACACGGGACCCTGAGCCATTTTGACTGTGCACTTTACTGTGACAGTTTGAGGAACATTTTTACAGCTAATTATTTTTTAATTAAAATTACCAAACTCCTAATATTTTTACTTTGTTGTTTCTATTGTCTATTGGTCGACCAGGGGTGACAGCCATTGAGTGAGACTCCCTCCAAATCCACTGTAATACTCCTGTCCCTAGCTTTTCTCTCCCATGAAAGTTGAAGGACTCAAAACTCACTTTCCCAGACTCCCCTGCAGCTGCAGTTTGGGATGGCCAAGTGATAGAGTTCTCACCGATAAGATACAACAGAAATCTGACATGAATTTCTAGGGAAGCTTTTGCTTTCCTCATGCAGGCTCTAGCCCTTTCTCATTCCCTCCTTCTTCCTCCTTTGTCCTGCTGCCTGAAACTCAGATGTGCTGGATGAAGTTAGGCAACCATCTTGAGATCATGAAGGAAAGGCCAGGAAAATCACAAAGACCTCAGCTGTGTTCTCTTTAAGCCACTTAAGCGAGAACATCAAGTAGAATTTAAAAAAACCTACTTTGTGTATTCCAATGTTTAATAAGATTTCCTATTTCTTGGATTGAAAGCAAACCCTAACTGAAACACCAATACATGATTGAGACTGGTATCGAAACCCCATGCTTCCATCCCAAACTCCCCCAATGGGATGGGGTGACCTGAGTTGAGCTGGCTCTGATGGAGAATGGAGAAGGAATCCAAGATGAGCAAAAGATAAAGGAAGCATTAAATCTCACTTGGAAGTCAGATGACGTCAAGCCAGAGGTCAGAGCTAATGTATTTGATCATTTCAGAAGAAGCCATCAGTTACTCTTAGCTAGGTGTTTGCTTGTTTTCTGAGACTCAACTTATATTGGGAATGGCCTGAATCGCAAATTCTCTAATCTCCCGTAAATTTGCCCTCATCATAGTAAATTGCTGGTTAGCAATAATTACTATCCTTATTCATTTTATTTGATATTAGAAAAAATGAGAGACTGGGCACTCCTACTTTTAGCAGGCCTCTTGACTAGGCTACATTTATGTGGCAAGGTATATATCATATATACAGGGGAAGGTCCCAGATGGGGATAATGGAAGTCACAATACAATCCCTTTTCCTCAGCTCTAAATTCATCAGAAAACTCCTAAAACAAATCTAGGTTACTATTAATACATACACTCAGTAATAGACCTAACAACTTTTTAATTATTTAAAAATTTTTTATGAGATGGATGAGGTAATAGACTGATATTCCCTGAAGGGCTAAAGTCCTAAGAGGCTTTTTAAAAATATGGTGATTATAAAGTCATATATACACAAGAAGAATTCAAAACTTAGATATTAAAAAATAAGAAGTAAATGTCTCACCAAATTGGGGTGGAGTTTAGTGATAGAAAAGGGGTAAGGAAAGTTTGTTTCACAGGTTATCTGATTGCTTCACACCTCCATCCAAATGGCTTCCAGCTGCTATGGGAGTCCAGTAGGGTATTAGTGCAAGATTTATGACATCAAATTCCATGACTGCTGCAAACTCCAGCAATCTTTTTGGGTATTTGAGAGTTTAGCCTAGATTATCAAGTTTAAACAATATCCTTAACTAGGAGCTATGCTGAATTTTTTGCATTATTTTAAATTTTGCCTTATATGGGATGTTTTTAACCATAAATGAGCACACTGGCTTCAAGTAGAGCTATGCTTCAACACAAAAAAACTTCATATGCAAAATAATTCAACTTGCAAGAGGTAAATTAGAAGCTAATTATTCTCCTCATAAAAGACTTTACCATGGAGTTCCTCTACATCAACAATTTCTTGTGCATTTAAAATACAATTCAGCGTGCAAAAGTTTGAATTACACATCACTTCTTAGAAAACTTTTATTATGTCTATTAAATGAGATATCCCTGGTAAGCCGTTAGCAAATGCCCAGTTGATATGTGCTCAAAAATGTTGCCCAGATTCATTATTATGCTAAATGGTATCATGTGCATATTATATTTAGTAATTTTAAAACAGTCATTTCTGAACCTTTTAGAGCTAAGGATCACAAATACGCATGAGTGTAAGAGTCATCTGATCCACATTAAAATGTGAAGCCTTGGACTCCACCCTCCAAAAAATCAGATTCTGTGGTTCTGCAGTACAGCTAGCAATCTACATTATTAATAAACCCTCCTGGTGATGATTATGAACAGCCAGAGTTGGGTATCAATACAGGGTCTGTAGCATTCAGATGACATCAAGTGCTATAACTGCTAAAAAACCTCAATAACCTTTATGAGCTTTTGAGAGCTTAATGTGGCTTCTTAAGATAAATATCAAAAAGGGTTGTGTGCAGACTTGAATCAGCCGAATCACAACTGGCGATTTTGACTTTTGTTGAGAAAAGAGTAGCTGAGGTTTCCCCTGGCAATGAGAAGGAACCACCTGCAGAGAGGAAGCAGACACACTCTGGGATCCACAAAGGGGTGGGCTAATTTGGGGAAATGGCAGTTGGCTATTTTTCCACTGACATCTCACTGATCAAGGCCAGCAATACTGGAAGAAAACATATAGTTTTTATTTCTGTCCCTAAGATTTTGGCAGCCCTATTGAAGTTCGGCCCTTTTGTAAACCTGCCTCCACAATCCTCAGCCTGAAATAGAGGGTATATCTCCATCCCTGACTGGGAAATGGCAGCAGGAAGGACAGAAAGGTCACCTTCCTATCCCCCACCCCTTGCTAATGAGACTCATCATAAAGTTTCATTTAAAAAGTTGGAGGACATTCCCTTCAGAAGAGGAAGGTTTATTTCTTCTTCCCTTAACCACCGTCTTCTTGTCCACTGGGCCACTAATCTTTTCCTGTGCTGTAAAGGGCTTAAGAGACAATGAACCCTGGGGTTGTGCTGCTGCTGACTGTTATCCAGGGGATAACCCCCTTTCCTTATCACCAAAATCCTTAGGTCACCTAAGAACAGAACTGGCTCTGGTTGTTGTTGTTTTTTTTTTCTAAAAAGTCTATTTATGGCTGTTGATAAAGGACAGATGACATTTTCATTTCAGCCTAGACACAGTCATGGAGCTATATAACTCCTTACCCTACCAAGCTATGCATTTGTAACTTGAAGAGTGATTTGGCATCCCCTTTACCAAAAACTACCTTCAAATGGCATTTCCACATAACAAAGTGTGATGACAAATGAGGCTCATAAGGATGAGTGTGAAGGCACTAAAACATCCTGAAAAGCCTTATAAATCTGTTTCCCAAAATTAAATTACGATCTCATTTCAAAGTTAAATGTTTTATTATAGTTCACTGGAATGCAACTAGCTGAGTATGGTAAATATAATAACCATAAAATGGCATGTTTAATCAAAACATCACATTCCCCAGATGACAGGTCATCACTTATGTGGATCCCTTACCAATATATGTCAATATATGTCTATGAGTGTGTGCGTGCACATACATATATTAGTTTTCAACTGAAGTAACATGAAAGTTTCCCCTGGCAATGGGGAAGTTTCTAGATGGTTCCTAGGGAAATAGTTTACTTCTATTTACTACAAATATATATCCACGTGTTAAAATTTTTAAGGGTTTGAACCTATTTCCCACTTACAATTTCAAATTGAAGAAATTTCCCCTGGATTAGACTGTTTTACTTACCAATCCATCTTTGTCATAGGGTGAATCAAAGTTATCCAGAAATTTCCTAAATACTTGTTCCTCACTCCATTCCCCATTCTGGTACTTTGGATGGTGTTTTGCATTATACACCTCACGAAGGTCTTCGATTGTTATAACGCCATCTCCAGTCTTGTCTAACTTTCTAAAAGCTTGCATGATTACCTCTTTTCTGGCTCTGGACATTGGAGGCTACAAAAATAGAAGAATACATGCAGAGACATACATAAGCAAATGAGATTTTTTGGTATCCTATGTGACAAAATATCTTATTCCCCTCAATGATGTGAAATAGTATTTGTGTGCTATTATATAATAAGCAGCACTATGATTGCTCCAAAAAGTTCTTAAGTCTGTTCACAGTCTTCTGCTCATCCCCCTCCCCACAGTGTACTAACAACTTGTGAAAACAAAACCTCAAGGTAGCCAACCCAAACCACGTGAAAGCCAAACTCACCAGATATACTGATTAATGGGGCCACTTACTCTTAATGTGAGAAGAAATTCATTGAAGTCTATTGTTCCATTTCCATCTTTATCAAACCTCCGGAAAAGCTCTTCTACCTCTTCCCTTTCCATTACCACAGCATAATCATTTAACCCTTTCATAAATTCTTTAAAATCAAGGGTTCGATTATTATCGTCATCCATAATTCTAAACACTCTGAAGAAAACACACACAAAAATTAAGAAGAATTTTACAAAGAACAGGTATAAGTGTAAAGATTTTTTTAAAAAAAAATCCACACTCAGGGTTTCGTCAAATAAAAATACCAAAGTCTTAAATTCTTCTCTGCACCCCCCTTCCAAAACTAAAGAGCCTCTTCCCACCACACACACACACACACACACACACAGACACACACACATGCACATACACAAAGTATAATTCTAATTACATGACATTCTGAAAAAGACAAAACTGTGGAGACAGTAAAAAGATGAAAGGGAGAGGAAATAATTGAATTGGTGAAACATGGGATTTTTAGGTCAATGAAAATATCCTTTATAATACTATGATGGTGGATACATGACATTATGCATTTGTTAAAACCCATAGAACTTTACAAAACAAGGCATAAACCTTAATGCATATGAATTTTTAAAAAAATGATTTAGGAAGTCAGAAAATCACAGGAAGGAATGCAAACTGTGACAAGAAAATCTCACTGTATTATGAAAGAACAAAACATCCCCAAAAGGGGTAAAGGGATAAGAGAGAAAGGTGCTGATTTAAGTATTTTGAAAATGAGTAGAGTCTGTAAGAACACAGGAACTGCACACAATTTACTGTACTCTAGTTGATAAAGTTGTTTCCCACAGGGATACAGGTTAACAATTCTGACACTGATGTACATGTATACTGAAGTTGAACCATCAAGTAAATGGATAACAAAGATGGAAGCTAGGTTTCTCAAAGTGAAAGTGAGAATTTAGAGATAAGATAGGAAAAGAGGCATGGATTAGAGTTGGAGATATCAGTGTGAACTCATGTTTAGCTTAATATAGACATAAATCATTACATATGAAAATATTTAGGCCAAGTGTGGTGGCTCATGCCTGTAATCCTAGCACTTTGGGAGGCTGAGGCAGATAGAATGCCTGAGCTTAGGAGTTCAAGGCCAGCCTGGGCAACACAGTGAAACTCCATCTCTTCTAAAATACAATAAATCAGCTAGGCATGGGCATGCTCCTATAATCCCAGCTAGTCAGGAGGCTGAGGCAGGAGAATCGCTAGAACCTGGGAGGCAGAGGTTGCAGTGAGCCAAGATCACACCACTGCACTCCAGCCTGGGTGACAGAGCAAGACTCTGTCTTTTAAAAATAAACAAATAAACAAAAAATGTTTAGATGCAGATTACTATACACACACATATTTCTTTGTTTTGTCAGCCAAGAAGACCTAGAAATAATAATGTTCCAGTAACAATAAGCACATATAACTAATTAATGAACAGACAGCAGTGCTACAGAAAGTGAACTTATCAGTTTCTTTGTAAAACATAAATAAATCTGAAATTAATTATGTATTATTAAGCCACCATGTGTTATTCAATAAAATTCACTGCTTAGGAATTTATAATGCATGAAACTTTGCACTAAGCCCTGTAAAGAGGAATAAAAAGGTGAACGAGATGCAGTCTCTGGTCTTAAGAAGTTATTGAAAGAGAAACACTAAAAAGGATAATTAGTGGTTTTAAGTGAAGGGAGAAAGGATGCATTTCAGAGCAATGGCTGTTTCTAGAGTATTCTTGGGGTATCTCAGAAAGCTAGAGGATAGCTCTGAAGGAAGAAATAACGAAGTTAAGATAGAAAGTTGGGTGATCTGAGCAAGATGGCCAATAGGAACAGCTCCGGTCTGCAGCTCCCAGCAAGATCAATGCAGAAGGTGGGTGATTTCTTCATCTGCAACTGAGGTACAAGGCTCATCTCACTGAAACTGGTTAGACAGTGGGTGCAGCCCATGGACGGTGACCAGAAGCAGGGTGGGGCATCACCTCACCCGGGAAGCACAGAGGATTAGGGAACTCCCTGCCCTAGCCAAGGGAAGCTGTGAGGGACTGTGCCATGAGGAATGGTGCATTCTGGCCCAGATACTATGCTTTTCCCATAGTCTTTGCAACCCACAGACCAAGAGATCCCCTCAGGTGCCTACATGCCCAGAGACCTGGGTTTCAAGCACAAAACTGGGCGGCCACTTGGGGAGACACCAAAAAAAAGCTATAGGAGTTTTTTTTCATACCCCAGTGGCACCTGGAAGGCCAGCGAGACAGAACACTTCACTCCCCTGGAAAGGGTGCTAAAGCCAGGGAGCCAAGTGGTCTAGCTCAGTGGATCCCACTCCCACAGAGCCCAGCAATCTAAGATCCACTGGCTTGAAATGCTTGCTGCCAGCACAGCAGTCTGAAATTGATCTGGGATGCTCGAGCTTGGAGGGGGGCCATCATTACTGAGGTTTGAGCAGACAGTTTTCCCCCATAGTGTAAACAAAGCCACCAGGAAGTTTGAACTGTGTGGAGCCCAGTACAGCTCAGCAAAGCCACTGTAGCCAGACTGCCCCTCTTGATTCCTCCTCTCTGGGCAGGGCATCTCTGAAAGAAAGGCAGCAGCCCCGGTCAGGGGCTTATAGATAAAACTCCCATCTCCCTGGGACAGAGCACCTGGGGAAGGGGTGGCTGTGGGCACAGCTTCAGTAGACTTAAATGTTCCTGCCTGCTGGCTCTGAAGAGAGCAGCAGATCTCCCAGCACAGTGCTCAAGCTCTGCTAAGGGAAAGACTGTCTCCTCAAGTGGGTCCCTGACCCCCATGCATACTGACTGAGAGACACCTCCCAGCAGGGGTAAACAGACAACTCATACAGGAGAGCTCTAGCTGGCATCTGGTGGGTGCCCTTCTGGGATGAAGCTTCCAGAGGAAGGAACAGGGAGCAATATTTGCTGTTCTGCACCCTCCACTGGGGATACCCAGGCAAACAGGGTCTGGAGTGGACCTCCAGTAAACTCCAGCAGACCTGCAGCAGAGAGTTAGAAGGAAAACTAACAAACAGAAAGGAATAGCACCAACATCAACAAAAATGACATCTACACAAAAACCCCATCCAAAGGTCACTAACATCAAAGACCAAAGGTAGATAAATCCACAAAGATAAGGAAAAACCAGCACAAAAAGGCTGAAAATTCCAAAAACCAGAATGTCTCTTCTCTTCCAAAGGATCACAAATCCTTGCCAGCAAGGGAACAAAACTGGATGGAGAATGAGTTTGACAAATTGACAGAAGTAGGCTTCAGAAGGTGGATAATAACAAACTCCTCTGAGCTAACGGAGTATGTACTAACCTAACGCAAGGAAGCTAAGAACCTTGAAAAAGGTTAGAGGAATTACTAACTAGAATAACCAGTTTAGAGAAGAACATAAATGACCTGATGGAGCTGAGAAACACAGCATCAGAACTTCGTGAAGCATACACAACTATCAATAGCTGATTCGATCAAGTGGAAGAAAGGATATAGGAGATTGAAGATCAACTTAATGAAATAAAGCGTGAAGATATGATTAGAGAAAAAAGAATAGAAAATCACGAACAAAACCTCCAAAAAATATAGAACTATGTGAAAAGACCAAACCTACATTTGATAGGTGTACCTGAAAATGACAGGGAGAATGGAACCAAGCTGGAAAACACTCTTCAGGATATTATCCAGGAGAACTTCCCCAATGTAGCAAGACAGGCCAACATTCAAAATCAGGAAATACAGAGAACACCACAATGAAACTCCTCAAGAAAAGCAACCCCAAGACACATAATCATCAGATTCACCAAGGTTCATATGAAGGAAAAAATGTTAAGGGCAGCCAGAGGGAAAGTTTGAGTTACCCACCATGGGAAGTCCATGAGATTAACAGTGGATCTCTCTGCAGAAACCCTACAAGGCAGAAGAGAATGAGGGCCAATATTCAATATTCTTAAAGAAAAGAATTTTCAACCCGGAATTTCATATCCAGCCAAACTAAGCTTCATAAGCGAAGGAGAAATAAAATCCTTTACAGACAAGCAAACACTGAGAGATTTTGTCACCACCAGGCCTGCCTTACAAGAACTTCTGAAGGAAGCACTAAACGTGGATAGGAAAAACTGGTACCAGCCACTGCAAAAACATACCAAATTGTAAAGACCATCAACACTGTGAAGAAACTGCATCAACTAACGGCCAAAATAACCAGCTAGCAGAATAATGACAGGATCAAATTCACACGTAATCATATTAACCTTAAATGTAAATGGGCTAAATGCCCCAATTAAAAGACCATCATTCTCAGCAAAGTAATACAGGAACAGAAAACCAAACATCACATGATCTCACTTGTAAGTAGGAGTTGAACAATGAGATCACATGGACACAGGGAGGGGAACATCACACATGGGAACACGAACGTCAGGGGTGGGGACTAGGGGAGGGATAGCATTAGGAGAAATACCTAATGTAGATGACAGGTTGATGGGTGTGGCAAACCACCATGGCACGTGTATACCTATGTAACAAACCTGCACATTCTGCCCATGTATCCCAGCAATTAAAGAATAATCTTTTTAAAAGATGGAAAGTTGAAGTAATCAGAATCTAAAGACTTTTAAATGTCCTTACATGCTAAAAAGTTTGAACTTTATTAGCAAGTCATTTTTAAAGTCATTAAATGGTTGACTTGAAGTGACATTATCAAAATAATGAGAACTTTAGCAATAGGAGAACTAAGAGAACTCTAGCAACAGTGGATTGAATGAATTGGAGGACTGAAAACTTAGAAGCAAAGGAACCAGTAAGAATACTATCGTAAGAGTCCAGTGAAAAAATGTTGAGTGTCTATACTTGAGCAATTGGAATGAAAATTAAAAAAGAAAGCTTTCAAGATACTATAAAAACAAAGGAGTCAATATGGTGGGCTAATGAAGGTAATTCTAAAGTTTTCAACCCAAGTACCTGGAAGAGTAGTAATACCACGAAGACAGCAGGGGCTGCAGAAGAAGCTGTATTTGCAAAAAAAAAAAAAAAAAAAAAAAAAATGACTTTTGTTTTGTTTGGATTAGATACTCTGTAAGGCAACCACACAGAGATATTCACTGGTTAGTTGGCTAATTTGCTATATCTTTCCTGATTTTATATATATATACACACACACACGTATATGTGTATATATATATGGTGAAAGTAGTTTGTATCTCAGGAATGGATATCATTCCAAGAATGTGGCAAGGGGCCAGAGTAGAGATGTGCTAACTCAGGAGTAGCCAAGGTGTCTGATAAATTAAGGATACTGGCAAAAGAATCTTGAAAATTTAGATACTAGAGAAGTATCTACATTTACAAGGCAATCGGAAATTACTAAGAAAGAACATATACTGTTGAAAACCACGAGAATTTCTTGTCAAAAAATGAAGGTGTCAAGGTTATAAATGATAAAGTCATCTTGATCTTGGTCAGGGTAAAGACTCAGACAGGGTGGAAAGATGGTGCCAGGAGCCAACACTTCACAGAATGCTAAATGTTGTGCAGGTGGGAAGATGGCAGAGTCTAACCTGAAGAGATGCCCTTCTAAGACAGGATTTATGGGAAAGAAATAAATGAACAAAGGGGTGAATCTGACCTGGGATTTGGAGTTAGACTGAAGGAGAGTATTTAGTCTTCAACTGATCCTAAGGTAGGAGTGGAGGAGAAGGGGCAGCTTCCACTTGAGTTAGGAGGTACTTAGAGAAGGCCAAAGTCAGTAAGGCAGGCAGACGGCACATTCTGCAAAAGGCCTAGGATGGAATGGTGTCTGTTCACCGTAGACTGGTTCCCAGTAGAAAGGCTTGTAGAGACACAGTGTGCAGTGTGGGTATGGGATGAAGACAGCACAGGCAGCAGGAGGGATTCCACTGAGTGAACCAGAGAGTGGAAGAGAGGATTCCTCAAGGGTTTGCACTAAGAACAACGATGTGGACCCATTATGAACAGGGTAGAGGTTGAAGTGACACAATATTGAGGGCATGGGGACTGGTCTTCCCATTGGACTGGGGCAGCCTGGCCACCAGGGTCCATATCCCCACTGCCTGGCCTTCTGACAGATCTGGGCTTAGTCTGAGACTTGGGATTGTTCAGAGTTGTCTCCCAGGCACTCAGTACCTTGCTGGAAGTGAAGCCTTTCACATCATCTGGGTGCAAGGCTGGATTTCCCACCCATTGGCATCCTGTACTCTCTAATATACAACTTCTCACACCACTGAGATACATTTAGATCACTCATGTACTCCATAGTCTTAGTCCTCGATGGGGGCTTAAGAAGCCTTGTTCACCCAAGGGTCCCTGAGATGTGTCCAATGCCTGGCCCATGGCAGGCTCTTGATGGAGTTTGTTATGATGCACAGGACCTGCCCTCAGGAGGCTCACAATCTTCTTTCCCCTTGGGTTTCTCAGTCCTTAAAACTATTCACACTCAGAAGACAGAGGGTAGGAGAACAGGAGCTACCCAGCTGATAGAACCTCACTGGCAGTGAGCTGTCAGTTATCTGACAAGCAATACCAGTGTCCCTCGAAGTGACGGAGAAATGATTGCCTGAGAGCAAAACTCCAAATTCTGCAATTAGGGCTAAATGGCTGTTCCTTCCTCCCTCTTCCACCCTGCACTTTATTATCACAGCTGCAGAGAGAGTTCCTTTCATTGTCCTGGTAGGCATCTCCATGCCAGGGCACATGCTGCTTCTCCCTTTACCTCATATTTTCCCAGAGCTGCACTGTCTTGTAGCAGATATGAGTCTTGCTGAATCTGGGACTAAGATCCAAAAACTATGAGGGACTTCGTAGATCAACTCTTCTACACTCCACATTTTACAAATAAGGAACTGAGCCCTAGGAGGAAATGACTTGCCCAAGACCACGTGGCCAACATTAGCTTCACCTGGCCGAGTCGTTCCTTCCCACTCCATTCCCTGCTACCTGTAGCTGAGTCCTACCTGCCAAGTCCTTTGATCCCAGCAGAGCCCCTGGCCAGGCACTGCAGTCGGAGTCTTTCAATGGGGTCGGTGGCCGTGGTGAGCTTTTTCTTGGCCTGGATTGCCATCTCTCGGTCATGGCGCGCTGTCCCTGCCATCTGAGGGGAAGCCATAGCATGTTAGCAGAGTCCAGGCCTTGCCACTGCCTCTGGCTGGGCAGGGTGACAGCAGCCCCACTGAGAAGGAAATCTACAGCCTTCTCTGTCAGGAAACCTCTCAGAATTTCCCATTTTTCTCTATGCCAACTGTGTGCCTGGCATATTTATAACTTACTTATCTAGTCCTGAGGACATCTGGTTTCTCCAGCCCAGACAATAATCTTAAATATATCACCATTTCCAAAGATGCTGTGATCTTTCTGAGGCCCTCGTCCATCTATAAAAGAAGTCCAGTTTCTCTATACTCTCTTTTTTGAACCAACCTTATATACCATATTATTTTATGTAGAATTTTCCATATTCCCTTGACCCTCACATTTAATGTTCTCCTCTGATTTTGTTGCTTCTGTCTTGAATGAGATTTTCAGCACTTGATCCTTAATGATTCTTACTAGTAATGGGTATGGTCTCCTTGATTCACAGGTTAGAGTCCACTAACACCTAACAAGGATCTTAGGATGGGTGCAGTGAAGTGCTGTCTCCTGAATGGTCCCCAAGGGATGTACAAACTCCTGTAACCACACATGAGCTCTCAAAGCTTGCACAACAGTGGGAAGAGCACTGGGCTGGGAGCCTGGAGACCTGAGCTATAGTCCTGACTCTTCAATCCCCACCCCACAGCTCCCCCCACTCCTCACCCCCATCTGCCTGGTAACCTCCCTGTGAGTGAATCTCACAGCCTGTGTTTCCTCCTCTGTTAAATGGGAGGATTGGATAAGATGGTCTTTAAATGCCATTCCAGCTTCAAAAAACACTAATTCTCATGGGTGCTCTCAGGAGGCTCTAAAAGTTACTTGTGAGTTGTGAAATAAAAAGAATGAGAGGCAAGAGTCTTGAAGGATGTGCAAAGGACAGCATGCAATGTGCAGAAAAAAAAATAGTATTAGAATGTGGTTCTGCCCTGGCTTCAAGGCTCCCTCCCTAGTCAAATTCTGGCACTTTCCCTAAGTGCTACATTAGGACGGAATTATTTTCATCAAGGAGAGCAACCTGCAGATTCACAACCTCATCTATGTCAGGACTGTTGTTCTCCTATACACCCTGAAAGGTCTCCCACACAGGGTACTCCTTATTTGACTTTTGGGAAAGGGAATCTCATCAAGCCAATAACTGAGGCCCGAATAGACAATTCAGGGATGCACACACTTGACATGGCCACTTTCTTGCAGCCTCAACTGAGCCAAAGTACAGGATCCTACCTTCTTGCCCTGTATCCAGATTCCCAGTATGTGGGTGAAGAGGGGAGCAATTCCTTTCAGTTCTCTTGAACCTCGGGTCAAGAAGGAAACCTGTCTAGATCTCAGCTGCTTTACGCCACGTTAGGAAAAGCTTGCTTTGTCTAAAGCTACACAGCCTTCCTCTGCTTCCTCTGGCACCTAAACAGAGGTTCCCTGGAACTCAAGACGGTGGCACACCCTGCTCTTAGAGACTTCTGTTCTTGCCAGGCACACACAAGGAGCATGTTCCAATTCTCATCCAACAGGGACACCTGCAGCCAAGACCATGCCCTTCCTGGCAGCTTTAGCTTTCTAATAACTGGTGTTTACTTATTACTATTTTGTCACCCGACCTCAAGCTGACAATTCCCAGAGCTCATTCCCAGCTTCAGCACTAACTCTCCCCTCATTAACAGCCAGAATCCTGAGTCACGGACAAAACCACCAATTCACTCATCTAGCCATCTCCTGCTGCCTTACTCATCCTTGCCTGAGCCATTCCCTTGCCCTGACCATATTCTGCCAGTGGCATGTGCCCCATCCCCACCCCAACCCCTATGGAAGCAGGAACAGGTGTCGACAACATGCACTTCTCATTCTCCAAACCCACCTCACAGTCTTGATCCTGCCCAGGACCACCACCATCTTTCCTGACCCTCGACCTTGCTTCATGATACTTGCCCAATGGCTGTCCCCAGCCATACACCTCCCATTCTCATTTCCCGTGACATCTTCCCTACCTTGTCCACCTTATTCATTTTGCTCTGGTTTTTCCCTGCCATCCATGACAGTAAGTGAGAATGAAGAGAAACAGAGACTAAAAACCAGTCATGGAGAGAAAGTGAGATCTGGCTCCTGGATCTGGGACAGATCCCCAGTAGGACCCTCTTTGCACACCTTCAGAATAATATTAAAGGCATCAGTGGTGCCCCCATGCCCCAGCTAGGTAGTAAGCATGTGTCCGGTTCCCACAACAACCCCGTGAGCTGAACTGAAAACAGGAACTCAAACCAATGCACATATACCCATGTTTATAGCAGCATTATTCACAACAGCCAAAAGGTAGAAACAAACCAAATGTCCATCCATGGATAAGTGGATAAACAAATTGTGGTGTAGCCATACAATGAAACACTCCTCAGCCATAAAAAGGAACACAGTACCGACAGATGCCACAATGTGGATAAACCTTGGCCACATTATGCTAAGTGCAAGAAGCCAGACCCAAAATGTCATACACTGTACGATTTAATTTATGTGAAATATTCAGAATAGGCAAATTCATAGAGACAGAAAGCAAATTAGTGGTTGCAAGGGGCTGGGGTGAGAGGGCCAGTGGGGAGTGACTGCTTAATGAGTGGGAAGTTTCCTTCAGGGGTAATAAAAATGTTTTGGAACTTGATATAGATGGTGGTCTGTCAACATTGTGAACGTAATATACACTTTAAAATTGCTAATTTATGTTATGTGTATTCATCTCAATAAAATAAAACCCATGCACAGATGTTACTAGTTTGATTTAGTCATTTCACAATTATACATACTTCAAAACATCATGTTATACAAGGCAAATACAACTTTATCTGTCAATTTAAAAAATAAATTTTAAAGTGTGCTGGGCATGTAGTCATCTTGGTAAATTAGCAAAAGTTAAAAAAGTAAAACAAGCCCATGAGCTAGTTACTACTATTACTGGTATTTCACAGATAAAGAAATTAGGATGTAGAGAAATCAGGTAACTTGCCCAAGTCACACGGAAACGCGGCTCACAGTAATCCACACGCTGTTAGAATTGTATGACCCTTGAAGATCCTCTGATGCAACCTCATTTTGCAAACTTGGAAACGAAGGCTTGGGTTGGCAAAGTGACTTGCTCAAAAGTCCTGGCCAAGACCAAAACAGAGGGCTTCTGATTCCCAAGCAGGGCTCTTCCTGCTTCATCATGTTTGTGGTTTATGAAATAAAATATAAGAATCTCAAAGCACAGTTTGATGGTGCTTTCTCATAGGAAAGTGGGATCAAGTCCAGGAAGGCAAGAAACAGCCAGCCCAGTACTCCAGGCTGTCCCACCTCTTGTGGCTGACCCTACCCAGCGATGATGTGGGCAGTTTTTATCTGGAGTCTTTAATAAATTCAAGGGGGAAAAAAAGGCCATTCTCTCCTGCTACCCTACCATGAAGCTTGAAATGTCTATAGTAACCATCTCTTTCAATCATTGAATCACCCAGTTCACCAACCACTAGCTAATTGTATTGTGTACCCTTTTCAAGGCACTATGCAGGAACAGAGTGCGGGAGTGTGAGGAATTATTCAGAGAACCAAGCCCTTGAATAGCCTAGAGTCTTCAGTAGTTTGAATCTTGATCTCCTATATTTAAGCAGAATGGAAAACATAAAGTTTATTAAGCACCGGGGCTTTTAAGGAAGGCAGGATTGCACAGGATCTCAAGTGAAGAAGGGAGCTCCTCAGCGTTGAAGTTTCAATAAAGGCGCCAGGCACCAGGCCAAGAGTCAGTACCCAAACATATGTCACCGACTTCACAGCAGTACACAAAGTGTCCCTGCTTGCAGAAGACTCTGTCTGAACCTTAAAGATCCGGCGTGGTGACAACGGAGCGCATCCCTGTGCAAGGTGGAGAAGAGGTTGCACTCCCGACCCACTTGGCCGCAGCGCCACCACGTGTTCTCAGGCGTCTGCGCAGTCCCCCGGCCAGGCGTGCGGTTCAGTCTGCCTTCCACGCAGGTCTACTAAGAGCTCAGGAAGCTCCACGCAATGTGCCAGGGGTAGTATGAAAGCGGGACCAAGACAACGCTTACAGCCTGGGGGTTGAGTGGAGAATGCAATCACAAGAGGGAGGGCTGCTTACCTGGCCTGGGAGTGGGGCTTTTTGAGGACCTCTCAGAGGAGGTGATGTCTGAGCTTTCATCCTAATGGAAGGTGTAGTTATCGAGGTTGGGGACGTGGGGATAGAAGGATATTTTAGATAGCAGGTGTACCAACTGTTAGACCAAGGTAAGAGAGAAACCAGTATAATTAGGAAAGTACAAGTATTTCAGTATGGTTGGAGAATAGATGTATGGGTGGCAGGGGGAGATGAACAGTCGTGGAGATTCGGAGGAATTTGGGGTAAAGATGTCACTGAGCAGGCTGGCAGCCATCAGATCCCAAAGAGCCTGGGGTGCCAGGGTGAGGTTTGGATTTTGTCCTGAGAGCAACAGGAGACCACAAAGTCTTCTTAAAAAGGGAAAGGCCGTTTGCATTGTACAGTGAAAAGAATGGATAGGAAGGTGGGACAGGCTAGCCAGTGGGAGACTGTTGTTCCCAGCTATGCTGCCTGGACGGTGTGGATGGAGAGAGAGGAAGAGATACAAGATGGCCAGTGGCAGAACGTGCAGTTTGAGGGAGAGGGCGGACTCGGGGCTGGCATCCAGAGCTGTTGCTTGCACTCTCCACCCCCACCCTCCAGTGGCTGGCGGCAAGGGAGGAAATTCACAGAAGCCTGGAGATTTGGGGCAGAGGCAGAGTGGAGCCACAGTAGCAGTGGTCCCATTAAGGCTGTCTCATTCCGCTGTCCCGGTGCACAACCGACTGCCACGCCAAACTCTCTGTCGGCCTGGATTTTGCGAATTATTGTAGGAAGGATGTGGAAAGCGGAAAATGCGTTGGATCTATATCTTCACAGTTCCCTCTTTAAGGTTCGGAGGCAGATTTAAGTGGACCCTT